ATTATAACCTGTTTGAATCCCATTATTTCCCAATAATGCATTTTAAAATAGTAGATTGATAGAAAATATGTGATTAAAAAATAAGAATTTTTTTTTGAATTTATGGTGTAATATTATTTTATTAAAGAATGTGTGGTTGAAAAGAAGAGAGAAAAATGTATTTTAAAAATAATGAGAATCAAATAAGGTTTAAAGTATATAATTCTTAAATTAAAAAAAAATTAAATAGGGTAGAGCGAGTTGGGGACCCCATAATCCGCAACCGCCCTGTACCCGCCTCGGGGCAGGGAATTACGCACCCCGATTAAGCAGGTAGTCTCCACCTAGTTCGGGGCGGATCCTCGCAGATATCGAGTTTGAAATGTATTTTTGCCATTTTTAGGTGGGGCTACATACTATTATTTAAAAAAAAAAACAAATTGTGGTTAAAACTAACTGTTGACTTTTACCTTAATATTTGATTTTTTAAGAACTTAAATACAGAAAACTAAGGGTGCGTTCTCTTTGTTGTTTTCGGGCCGTTTTATGTTTCGATTTTCTAAAACGGTGAAAACGCATTCTCTTTCTCGTTTTGGAAAATGCTTTTTTGAAAACAAAAAAAAAAATGTGCTGAAAATACAAAATGATGTTTTTATCGCTTTGGATGTTTTCTGTGCAAAAATTGAAAAACTTGAAAACGCTCCCATTTTCAAGTCTCCCATCTCTCTCTTCTGGAAGTGGTTGGACTCCTTTTTTTTTTTTTTCCTTTGTCGGCTATGGATGCTCGTCTTTGCTACGGTCGAATGGAGATAAGCTGCAGTTCCTTGCGACGTGGTTGATGGACGCTACCTATTCATCGTTGAATCTATTTGTTGATCGGGAGTTTGCTGTGTCGAATTTCTGCTATAGATTTCGATTTTCTGTGTTATTTGTTGTTATAAAAAAAAGCTTGAACCCCAACCTTAAAAGTCCCCCACCGCCCCTGCCCTGGAGCATCGTGAGGGAGGAAATCGCAGGTTATGCCTCAAAGGGTACAGGGTGGAAGGCTGCTTGTACACTTGCATTTACCCAAGAGCCAAATCCATATTTCAGGATTCGAACCCTCGACGCGGTAGTTTCAAGCAAAGCTGAATTTCTCCACCCTCCCCTTTTACCACTTGGAGATGTGCCCTGGGGGCGTGTTGTTTGTTGTTATAATACCATGTATGGATGTGCCTTGTTGAGCTTGATCGATCTATGGGGTGTAATTAATATGGGCAGCAACTGGGTTGGTTGAATCTGGTAGAAAACCGTGCAGGAGTGGTTGTTTTTGGACAGTAATTGGCTTGATTTTGCTGACATTTGGGGTTGTTGTTTGTGTACGGTTGGTGGGAATTGATGAGGAGATGGTGTTGGTGCAAAAATTCGATGGCGATGGTGGCCAGAAATCAGGTAGTGGTCGGATTGTGAGGTTGAAGACGGCAACTGATGGTGGCTGGAGAAAAGAAAATGACAATTTCGATTTCCAAAAAAGAGCACGTTTTTAATTTTCATGTTTTAAAAAATATTTTTTCAAAATGACAAAAAATCTTCAATAATTTCAAAACAGACACTTAAAACACAAAACTCAAATACAAAGAGAAAAGCCTCTAAGATTTTGGAATTACTAGATTTGAAGTTCAAGTCAAACGTTTTCGTTTTGACCTATAAAGTTTTCTATTTTTATTTTTGCGATGGCCCATAGATTTCAGAACTATTAAGTGCCACAAGTTTGTCTGGTTGTATTTGTATGTGTGAATATTGTTATAAATACACTTATAAGTAAAATCTTTAAGCTTAGCCACAATGATTTTAGAGGTTAACTTTTTAGAAAATTCCTAGTAGAAAACAGAAATTTTGTTAATAAAAAAGTAACTTAATTAACTACAACTTTGATCAATACATAAATTTATTAAAAATATACTTGTAATTAAACTCGTCAAGCCCAGTCCAATGCTTTTAGATGTTAACTTTTTAGAAATTTCTTAGTAGAAAAACTAATTTTTTTTTTAAATAAAAAAAATGTAACTACGTCACATAAGTTAGTCGTTGAATTTTTTTCTTTTTGCTTTAGTTCACTCCCTAGCTCACGTCGTATGTGTACGGTCCGATCTTCTATTTGATATTTACTGAATTATTTCTATAATTTTGTCAACTTTTGTTCCACTAATTTATTTAGAAAAAAAGTTTAAATTCAACTATCTTATCGAACTGGCTAATGCTCTTTTGCACAATGTTCACTTGCACTTTTTAGGCTCGTGCCTTAGTTCATCGAACATTTAGTCCGTTTAGCCTGGTTAAAAATAAATTTTATCAAGTTTGACCGACTTAAAATCTTTCAAATAAAAAAAAAATAATTCAAATAAGAGCTTAATTTATTCAAATAACATTGAAAACATAGCACATACGAATTTGTCTTCGATTTTATGCATCTCTCTTCTTTAATATTTATTTTATTCCTATCCCAAATGTTAAATGACCTTAGGCAGATAGCCCTGATTACAATGAATGTCTCTATTTTTTCTAAACGCCTATTGTAATAGGTATGTGTGTCTTAAGAGAGAAATGCGCCAACATCATACACACGGTACGCCTATGATTTAATGCACAAAATTGTTTTTTGGCACATGCATTACCAATTTATTAATATGACAATTCTTCATATTTTGAGAGACCAAATGCATATAAAATTAAATTCTGTCCCACTGAAACTTTTGGTGTAAAATTGGAATCGGGTATTGCCTTTTCTTTTTCAATTTGATCTTCTCGGGTAGAAATTTGTTGCCTTTTAAGTCTTGTTGAAGGCAGGAATTTATTAGGATTATTTCATATGTATCGAATGGTGTCCCTTATCTCACAATGCATGCAAGCCCGTGTGAATTTATAAATGTTGACATGTGGTTTCCATCCCTGTTGTGAGTAGTAGGTAAAAGATTCAGTAAAAAAAATTCGATACGTGTAGTATAGTTCAATTTATCAAGTGTTATGCTACATGTACATTATGGTGTTCATAATGTACAAGTGGCATAACATCATTGGAGAGTTGAAAAAATAATTTTTTTCAACCCTCCACTAATGTAATTCCACATGTATATTATGGACACTTTTATAGATACTATAATGTATATATAGAATTATCCATTTATTATTGAACCTTGTAAGATGTACATCAAAATTTACATAAATGATTACATAATATCCACGTGGCACTCTATTATTTGTTAATTGAAATTCATGCGACTTTTTCATCCAATCTTTTACCTCTATACCATATTTTTCACAAAATTAAAGTTTATTGAATCGAATCTTAAATGCGCATTGGGGGAGATTGATGCAGCAAATTAAAATGCAAAAAAATTCAATGCAGACTAACATATGAAATTAAATACAGTTATTTCAAAGAAAATCGAGAATTTTGGAAAACTCAATTGAATAACATATGAAATTTTATGAGTCTTTTAAAATGTAAGATTTATTTTAGCTTCAAATCTATTGGGAAAAGAATTTTTTTTCCCCCCAAATACTGTCTCTCGTTATAAATAAAAAAATTAAAAATTATCTTCGGATCCGTAAAACACCGACACTTTCTTTTATATATCTTTATAGCGTTTTTACTAAATTTAATATCATATTCCTAGGAAATTGATGAAGTGTAGAAACATTATTAACCTTCTTCTAACTTGTCAGTTTTAATTTTATATTATAATTAACAAAATTCAGTAGTTTTGTTAATTAATAAATTAAAATGATGAATATGAGGAATTTCAAATTCAAGAATCTTGTGGGAGAGTGTTGAATTACAAGTAGGGAATGTCAAAAGACGTCATTAGGACAAGAAATTTTGTTGTTTAAATTATAGTAATCAGTTGTTAAGGTATATTCCAACGGAATTAGAATGTTTGTACATATAACCTGGTCCAGAATAAGGAAACAAAGGACATCTTGAGATTTTATTAATTAACTTGCACCAAGAAATATGACATATAAGCTGTGTGCATTTCTTATTTTTGAGAACGTATTTTTGTTTATTACATCAGTATATATATGCATTTTATGTTTAATACTATACGTACGATTGATTAAAAAATACTATAAGTATTATGGTCGTTTAGTTATCTATTACTTATTGCTTTTTACCCCTCAAATCAAATCCTAAACCCTTAGAGACATACCATCAAGTGGAAGCTATTTGCCTTCTCATTTAAATGTACAATTTTTAGAATCACGAAGTACGATATTATTGACAATAAAGTACGTGATGAATCTTTTCAAATTTACAAATAATATTTCGCAAGGTCCTAAGAAACATAGTCTGCATCATTATCATTTCAATCAAAATTCTTGATCGTATTTCACGAGGTCCTACGAAACATAGTCTACATCATTATCATTTCTATCAAATTTCTTGATCGTATACTTTAATTCCGTTATATTATTCGTAATTTGGCCACTCTATTAGCGACATCAACTTTAGATTCGACATGACCTTGTTAAAACATACAATTGTTATGCATATTGTGAAATTAGAGATTTTCAAATTAAAACATGAATCTTCAAAGAAACTTCTTCTTGTTCATCCAAAAAAGTTTCAATTGCTCCCTTTAAACGTAATCCTATATTTCATCAGTAAAATATGGTAAAAAAATCACCACAAAGCTAAAAGTCTGAAATAGGAGACCAGTTAAAAGAGATTAGTCGCTATAACGCACATTAGTCGACGCCAAGGTTTAACGATTGCTCCGTCGAATATGACTTTTATCATATCGACAAAGCGACCAATTGTGTAACATTATTTAAATTTGCGTCACTATATATGTCGACTATGAACCCGTGCCCATTTATATATAAGGCCCATATAGTTAGACAGAACTGCCCACACTTTGGACCTAAATTGACTCAAATAGCACTTGGATAGTCTAGTTTGGACAAATGGTCCAAGAACCTACAAACTCATCCAAAGAATTAAAAAGTTCAGTTAATTAAAGAAATAAAGAATAATAACGAAATTAAAATCAATCATCCATTAACATTATCAAACCCAAGAAAAAATAAAGAAAATAAAAACAGTTATCACAGATGCATACTACAATCTTTTCTTTTCTCTCCATGTTTCCTTCCCCTCTTCACCCCAATGGATCCCATTTTATCCATAGCAGCAGCAAATAACTGGGAAAACTTCTTTTTATCCTTTGCCAGATTTTGAACCAAGGGCCTTGTTCTTGGGTCCAAAAACAGAGCTTGATCAGAACCCAACAAGCCCAATTTAGCCTCCAAATTCCCATAATATGCATTGTCAAATGCAAAAGGGGTTTTCACATCAAATGGTGCAACAACATCATAATTCCCTCCAAATTGTGGGCATGACATTTTGAGGGCCTTCAGGAGTCTTGAGTCAATATTTGGGTCGGGTTGCTTGGTGCCTTTGTAGTTGTATATGCGACTGAGAAAATGATGACAGTGGGCAAAACCAATGGTGTGTGCACCCGAGAGGATGACTAGGTCTTCGAGTGTTAAGCCTTTGGATTTAAAGAGCCAAATAAGTTCATCCAATGTCGAATTTGCTTGAGGAAGATTTGAGTGGACTCTTGATGCCATGGAAATTTTTCCATCCCACCTTCCTTTTTTCACTTGATAATATGGACCTCCGGCCTTTAATATATGCAAAATCACAATATCAATATATACCCTAGTAATTAGTGTTTTAAGAATTGGACCAGACCGGTCCGTCGGACTAGTAACCCGGCAAACCAGTATGCTGTCCGGTCCGGGTTGAAACAATTGGTGCTGACAACAGTTGAAACCTAATTTTTTTAAGACCTCGAAAGCACAAACAGATTTGAAGGTACATGGATGACTGATAAATGACCAAATTAGAGAAAAAAATTAATATTTGTCTGGTTATATACTGGCCAAAATTGTACAGCTGTTATATTTTTAATTTAATCACCCTGCATTCGACATCCTAATCAATAGTCTGTCACTATCAACCAAAATAACAGGAAAATATGTCTCACCAAATGGACAAAATCTCTGGCAGCAATTGCAAGTATATCTGCGCAGGATACAACTCCAGGGCACTTGCTCTCCACCAATGATTTGGCCTTCTTTATGCTATCAAATGCCTCCACTGCTAGTTCCTTGTTATCCTCTGCGTCCTTCTCTGATAATTCTTTGCTTCCCATTCTTGTTTTAATAAGTACTGATGCATCACATCCCTTAAGCAAAACCATTCATAAATAATTACAAGACAGCTTAAACTTGTGCGGGTTGTATTAGTTGTTTAAACTTCTAGACGAAGTGATCCAACAATTAAATATGGAGATGGGGGAATACCTCAACGAAGCAATCATGGAAGAAGAGGCGAATGGTGGCTGGACCAGATACCGGCGCTTCTCTGAATTGCAGGGAGGTTACGGATGCAACAAGCTGGTCGACCGGAGGGCAGGATTTGGCGTAGTAATCGACAGAGAGTTGTCGTGGCGGCCGGCCAGTGGTGTTGGCCGTGGACTTGGGGAATGAGTGTATAGCCAATGTAACAAGGAAAAGGAAAATGAGCACGAAAATGATAACAGGGAATGAATTGGAAGAGACAGACATGGCAGTTTTTTTTTTTAGAGAGCAATGTTCTAGGACAAATTAGCAAATATTATTGAAGTGAGTGTCACTGGGAGAAAAAAACCTGTCACGTTAATGAGAGAATCAAATCCCGTGACCGTGAGGCCCAGAAGTTGTGAAAAATTAAATTTTCAGAGACACACACACACACACAAGCCCTCGTGAAATGGAAGAAAACTGCAGGAAAAAGTATAATCCGTGTCATAAAAGGAATAAAACCATGAATGCATTACTGCTCGACTTATTTCCTCTATTAGCACACAGTACTCATTGGGCTAAACAGTATAATAAAACGACTAGAGAACTTCTTTTTCTTCTTCAATAATGTCTAGGAATATCAAACATTCTATCTTAAAAAATAAGTTTACTGCATTTTGCGTGGCTCTTTCTAAGAAATTTATTGGTGGACGGCGTAAACTTTACCCTTGTACAATATACCATTTGCTCTTTTTGTTTGATTAGATATTTAAAGTCTGAGGATTTGTTGGTTTGATATCAGATAAAAAAATTGCTCCCTTTAAACGTAATCCTATATTTCATCAGTAAAATATGGTAAAAAAATCACCACAAAGCTAAAAGTCTGAAATAGGAGACCAGTTAAAAGAGATTAGTCGCTATAACGCACATTAGTCGACGCCAAGGTTTAACGATTGCTCCGTCGAATATGACTTTTATCATATCGACAAAGCGACCAATTGTGTAACATTATTTAAATTTGCGTCACTATATATGTCGACTATGAACCCGTGCCCATTTATATATAAGGCCCATATAGTTAGACAGAACTGCCCACACTTTGGACCTAAATTGACTCAAATAGCACTTGGATAGTCTAGTTTGGACAAATGGTCCAAGAACCTACAAACTCATCCAAAGAATTAAAAAGTTCAGTTAATTAAAGAAATAAAGAATAATAACGAAATTAAAATCAATCATCCATTAACATTATCAAACCCAAGAAAAAATAAAGAAAATAAAAACAGTTATCACAGATGCATACTACAATCTTTTCTTTTCTCTCCATGTTTCCTTCCCCTCTTCACCCCAATGGATCCCATTTTATCCATAGCAGCAGCAAATAACTGGGAAAACTTCTTTTTATCCTTTGCCAGATTTTGAACCAAGGGCCTTGTTCTTGGGTCCAAAAACAGAGCTTGATCAGAACCCAACAAGCCCAATTTAGCCTCCAAATTCCCATAATATGCATTGTCAAATGCAAAAGGGGTTTTCACATCAAATGGTGCAACAACATCATAATTCCCTCCAAATTGTGGGCATGACATTTTGAGGGCCTTCAGGAGTCTTGAGTCAATATTTGGGTCGGGTTGCTTGGTGCCTTTGTAGTTGTATATGCGACTGAGAAAATGATGGCAGTGGGCAAAACCAATGGTGTGTGCACCCGAGAGGACGACTAGGTCTTCGAGTGTTAAGCCTTTGGATTTAAAGAGCCAAATAAGTTCGTCCACTGTTGAATTTGCTTGAGGAAGGTTGGAGTGGACTCTTGATGCCATGGAAATTTTTCCATCCCACCTTCCTTTTTTCACTTGATAATATGGACCTCCAGCCTTTAATATATACAAAATCACATTATCAATATATACCCTAGTAATTAGTGTTATAAGAATTGGACCAGACCGGCCCGTCGGACTAGTAACCCGCCAAACCAGTATGCCGTCCGGTCCCGGTTGAAACAATTGGACTAGATAGCTGACAACAGTTGAAACCTAATTTTTTTAAGACCTCAAAAGCACAAACAGATTTGAAGGTACATGGATGACTGATAAATGACCAAATTAGAGAAAAAAATTAATATTTGTCTGGTTATATACTGGCCAAAATTTTACAGCTGTTATATTTCTAATTTAGTCACCCTGCATTCGACATCCTAATCAATAGTCTGTCACTATCAACCAAATAACAGGAAAATATGTCTCACCAAATGGACGAAATCTCTGGCAGCAATTGCAAGTATATCTGCGCAGGATACAACTCCGGGGCACTTGCTCTCCACCAATGATTTGGCCTTCTTTATGCTATCAAATGCCTCCACTGCTAGTTCCTTGTTATCGTCTGCGTCCTTCTCTGATAATTCTTTGCTTCCCATTCTTGTTTTAATAAGTACTGATGCATCACATCCCTTAAGCAACACCATTCATAAATAATTACAAGACAGCTTAAACTTGTGCGGGTTATATTAGTTGTTTAAACTTCTAGACGAAGTGATCCAACAATTAAATGTGGAGATGGGGGGATACCTCAACGAAGCAATCATGGAAGAAGAGGCGAATGGTGGCTGGACCAGATACCGGCGCTTCTCTGAATTGCAGGGAGGTTACGGATGCAACAAGCTGGTCGACCAGAGGGCAGGATTTGGCGTAGTAATCGACAGAGAGTTGTCGTGGCGGCCGGCCAGTGGTGTTGGCCGTGGACTTGGGGAATGAGTGTATAGCCAATGTAACAAGGAAAAGGAAAATGAGCACGAAAATGATAACAGGGAATGAATTGGAAGAGACAGACATGGCAGTTTTTTTTTTTAGAGAGCAATGTTCTAGGACAAATTAGCAAATATTATTGAAGTGAGTGTCACTGGGAGAAAAAAACCTGTCACGTTAATGAGAGAATCAAATCCCGTGACCGTGAGGCCCAGAAGTTGTGAAAAATTAAATTTTCACAGACACACACACACACACAAGCCCTCGTGAAATGGAAGAAAACTGCAGGAAAAAGTATAATCCGTGTCATAAAAGGAATAAAACCATGAATGCATTACTGCTCGACTTATTTCCTCTATTAGCACACAGTACTCATTGGGCTAAACAGTATAATAAAACGACTAGAGAACTTCTTTTTCTTCTTCAATAATGTCTAGGAATATCAAACATTCTATCTTAAAAAATAAGTTTACTGCATTTTGCGTGGCTCTTTCTAAGAAATTTATTGGTGGACGGCGTAAACTTTACCCTTGTACAATATACCATTTGCTCTTTTTGTTTGATTAGATATTTAAAGTCCGAGGATTTGTTGGTTTGATATCAGATAAAATAACACTGTTCAGCGAAAAGCATCATTTCATTTTCACGGGCATAGCCACCGACTTTAATTTTATATATTGTATTATTCGTAATTTTTAGTGTTACTAATACGCCCTTAGCATGGAAGTGTACTCGATGCTTGAACATGGACTAAACTCACCGGCACTTTATGAGCATAAATAGAAGACTTTGACATGGCATACTTTTTTTTGTCTGTTTTAATATCATATTGATTATTACGTCGTCTAGAGTCGCGAAAGAGAGACCTGAACACCATCTTTAAATGCAGTGCATTGAGGAATCTCACCAACTTATTAACTACCTTTCAATATAAATTTAACAAAATAACAGGAAAATATGTCTCACCAAATGGACGAAATCTCTGGCAGCAATTGCAAGTATATCTGCGCAGGATACAACTCCAGGGCACTTGCTCTCCACCAATGATTTGGCCTTCTTTATGCTATCAAATGCCTCCACTGCTAGTTCCTTGTTATCCTCTGCGTCCTTCTCTGATAATTCTTTGCTTCCCATTCTTGTTTTAATAAGTACTGATGCATCACATCCCTTAAGCAAAACCATTCATAAATAATTACAAGACAGCTTAAACTTGTGCGGGTTGTATTAGTTGTTTAAACTTCTAGACGAAGTGATCCAACAATTAAATATGGAGATGGGGGAATACCTCAACGAAGCAATCATGGAAGAAGAGGCGAATGGTGGCTGGACCAGATACCGGCGCTTCTCTGAATTGCAGGGAGGTTACGGATGCAACAAGCTGGTCGACCAGAGGGCAGGATTTGGCGTAGTAATCGACAGAGAGTTGTCGTGGCGGCCGGCCAGTGGTGTTGGCCGTGGACTTGGGGAATGAGTGTATAGCCAATGTAACAAGGAAAAGGAAAATGAGCACGAAAATGATAACAGGGAATGAATTGGAAGAGACAGACATGGCAGTTTTTTTTTTTAGAGAGCAATGTTCTAGGACAAATTAGCAAATATTATTGAAGTGAGTGTCACTGGGAGAAAAAAACCTGTCACGTTAATGAGAGAATCAAATCCCGTGACCGTGAGGCCCAGAAGTTGTGAAAAATTAAATTTTCACAGACACACACACACACACAAGCCCTCGTGAAATGGAAGAAAACTGCAGGAAAAAGTATAATCCGTGTCATAAAAGGAATAAAACCATGAATGCATTACTGCTCGACTTATTTCCTCTATTAGCACACAGTACTCATTGGGCTAAACAGTATAATAAAACGACTAGAGAACTTCTTTTTCTTCTTCAATAATGTCTAGGAATATCAAACATTCTATCTTAAAAAATAAGTTTACTGCATTTTGCGTGGCTCTTTCTAAGAAATTTATTGGTGGATGGCGTAAACTTTACCCTTGTACAATATACCATTTGCTCTTTTTGTTTGATTAGATATTTAAAGTCCGAGGATTTGTTGGTTTGATATCAGATAAAATAACACTGTTCAGCGAAAAGCATCATTTCATTTTCACGGGCATAGCCACCGACTTTAATTTTATATATTGTATTATTCGTAATTTTTAGTGTTACTAATACGCCCTTAGCATGGAAGTGTACTCGATGCTTGAACATGGACTAAACTCACCGGCACTTTATGAGCATAAATAGAAGACTTTGACATGGCATACTTTTTTTTGTCTGTTTTAATATCATATTGATTATTACGTCGTCTAGAGTCGCGAAAGAGAGACCTGAACACCATCTTTAAATGCAGTGCATTGAGGAATCTCACCAACTTATTAACTACCTTTCAATATAAATTTAACATTTTCCCTTCCACATGTTGCTCTCAATGGCCATGGCCCATGTGTTCAGTCTTTCATCTAATTGCCTTCTCTTTTCCAATTTATGGTTTCATTGAGTGGATTGAGCCTTTTGTTTTGTGCAAAGTAAAAGCTGTGGACCTGTTGGAAAATAATGGAGGGATGGAGTAGAGACAAAAGAAATAGCAATAAAATTGCAGCAACAAGATGAAGAAATCACAAATGTTGTTAATAACAATTTCGAAGGCTCGAAGGCGGGATCGCTGTCCTCAGATGTTATTTGCCCCCTTTCCGGTGTTTATAAGTTACTTAAGGGTATTCTGGCAAATTGTTTGAAAGATTATAACAAGTCTTGTAAAAAAATTTTTTTTTTTTTTACTAAAACACAAAGTAAAATTCTTCAAAACTTGAAGAACACGATAGAGTAAATGAATATAAATGTTGAACAAGGGTTTAATTTTAATTGTGGAATTGGAATGAATCTCAAATGTTTTTCAATTAACTTCCCTTGAATCATGGCTCTACTATTTATAGACTTCAACCTTGTCCATGAAATGGTGCAAAAAAACGAGTGAAAGGCCACCAAATTCAAAGTTGCAACGTTTGAAAACGGCCTCCAACGATCGAATATGAAGTAGCATGCGATCGCATGGTTTAAAACTTTGCAGTTGCATGGTTAATGCAGAAAACCAACCTAGTTTTTTGAAGGTGGCCATGTGACCGCAAAGCCAAATGCCATGCGGTCGCATGGCCTTATCTTGGGCCTCTGTTTTCACCATTTTTTCATTCCACGGTTATTTTCTTGGTTTTGAACAATTAATACTCAACAATGCCCTATTTGTTTAAAATTAACAAAGTCTCGTATTCAAAGTATACTCATACATAATGACTAGATATCTTTCGATTTAAATTTAATCATAATATAACTCACACAAGGTAAAGTTGGAATCAAAGGCAGTGTTTAAGCTTTGAACTAGTTATTCTATATGACAGTACCGATGAAAAAACACACGAGTACCACGTGTTCTCAAGTTTCTCATGACTTACTTAGAGCTATTATGGCCTTGCGTTTTATCCTTTTCAACAAATTTTTAAGAGAGAAACTCCAACTCTCTATTAAGGCGGCACCACCTCAAAGTTTGTCCAGATAGAGTTCTTTCAGTACCTTTATTATTGTTAGATGTACTTGTGTTTTAATACTGAACTTTATTAAGCGCTTTAAAGCTCAACCCTCACTCCAATAACAACAAGCATTATTTTAATTAGGATAGGGTCGCCGCGGATTCAAATAATGTTGCAACTATCCACAAATCAAATGACTTGTTATCCTTTGAACTCGTGGATTACCTTTTAAGTAACAACGGGTAGGGTTGCCATCATTGGTGGATCATTTGGTTTAGGAGTTTCAACCTCATCCTATTTAAAGGTTTAGTCAAATGATCCACCAAATTCTTAATTGACCTCACATAATTTAGGAAAATTATTCTATCTTTGATTAATTTCCTTATGCAGTCATGTCTGAGACTCATATATCTAGACTTTCCATTGTATACTTCATTATATGCTTTTTCTAATGTGGCTTGACTATCACATATGATAAGCATTGAAGAAATATTCTTCGATCCCTAAGGTATCTCATAAAAGAGATCTTTAAGCCACTCAGCCTCTTTCTCAGTTTTCGATAGTGCTACAAATTTAGATTTCATAGTCGAGTGTGTTATGCATTGTTTCTTTGACTTCTAAGAAATAGCACCTCCTCTTAGAGTAAACATCTAATCCGAGGTGGATTTACTTTCACCCATGCTAAAAATCTAACTAGCATCGGTAATCCTTCCAATACCGTAGGGAACTTAGTATATTGAAGGCCTAAGTTCTTGGTATTCTTTAAATATCCAAAAACTCTCCCAATGGCCTTCCAATGATCATTGTTTGGATTGCTAGTAAACCTACTAAGTTTACTTATTGCATAGGTTATATCTGGTTTTGTACATTGAACTACATACATAAGATTCCCTATAGCACTAGCATATTCAAGCTGAGCAATCGTCCTTCCATCATTCTTTACAAGTTTTGAACTTGGATCAATCGGGGCACTATACTCTTTTATCTTTAGATGTTTGAACTTATTTATCAGATTTTCTATATAATGTGATTGATTTAGATAGTAACTCCCACTAGTCTTTGTGACTTTGATATCTAAGATGGTATACACCTGTCCAAGGTCTTTCATTTTGAATGTGAAAGATAGAAACCTCTTCATTTCTTCTATACTGTCCCCGTGATTACTTATAATCAATATGTTGTCAACATATAAGCATATAAAAGTAACACAATCATCACATATATTAGAATATAAACATCTATCTATGCTATTATGTTTAAACCCGTATGATATAATTGCTAAGTCAAAATTCTCATGTCATTTCTTAGGTGCCTGTTTCAAGCCGTATAACGATTTCATCAACTTGCATACCTTATGTTCGTTTTCAGGTAGAATAAAACAGTCGGGTTGTTTCATATAGACTTCATCATCGAGATCCCCATTTAAGAATGCTGTCTTGACATCCATTTGACGAACATGCAAGTCATGTATTGAAATTAAAACAAATAATATCCTTATTGATGTTATTCTAGCTACCCTGCATAAGTGTCAAAATAGTCTATTCCTTCATTTTGTTGATAACCTTTGGCCACCAATCTAGTTTTGAACGTATTTAGAGAGCCATCAACATTATATTTTCTCATAAAAACCCATTTATATCCAATAAGTTTGGATCCCGGTGGTAAATCGACAAGTTCCTAAGCATTATTTGACATTATCGAATCCATTTCATCTTTGATTGCATCTTTCCAAAAAATATTGCCACGAGAAGCCATAACTTTTTTAAAAGTTTTAGGGTTGGTTTCCACTTATAGAACAAAAGGAATTATTCTTACAACATTCAACACATTTTCTTCTACTAAGTAAAAAGAAATAAATTGAGAATCAATTTTATTCTGTCCTAAAGATTTTTTAATTTGAGTTCTCTTGCTTCGTTGTGGTTTACTAGACTTATCAATATCTTTAGAAGACATTTCATCACGTGTTCCACTTGATCTAGGGATATTTTCCCTTAATTCATTATCCGATGATAACAAATTTTCAAAGAACTCTACATCACTTGATTCAATAATCACATTGATCTCTAAGTTTAGCTATCTATAAGATTTGCTATTATTAGCATATCCAACGAAAACACATTTAATGCCTCTTGGACCCAATTTGATCTTATTAGGGTTGATGTTCTTGCAATAAGCAAAACACCTCACACTTTGAAGTATTCAATGTTCGATTTTCTTCTTTTCCACAATTTATAAGGAGAAACATTTGTATGTTTAGAAGGAATCCTATTAAGTATTTTACATGCACCTAATAAAGTTTCACCCCACACATTAAATAACAACTTAGCATAAATAAGCATGTTATTAATCATTTCAACCGAGGTTCTATTTTTTCTTTCAGCCAAACATTTGGCTCGGGTGTCTTAAGTGTAGAACATTGATGAATTGTGCCATATTGTTCACAAAATAAGTTAAATTTACTAGAAAAGTATTCACCATCTCTATCACTTCTTAATGTCTTTATTTTCCTACCTAAATGATTTTCAACTTCATTCTCATACACCTTAAACATGTCAAAAACCTCGTGTTTATATTTCATCAAATAAACATACGTGTATCTAGTGCTATCATCAATAAAGGTAATAAGATATATATTTCCACCTCTAGTTAACATACCATTTAATTCACATATATTTTTATGAATTAATTCTAAGATACTAAAGATCCTTTTCACACTTTGATATGGCCTTCAATCATTTTAGATTCTACACATGTTTTGCATTTATATTCATTATTTTCATCATATGAAATTAATTAACATTTTTATTACGTTTCATAGTACTTCTACCAATATGAACTAATTTAGCACGCTACAATGAAAATAAGTCAAGAGAATAAGGAAAATCAACTTTATTTATTTATTTATTTGTCAACGGTACAAAATTTGACAATTCCTTTACAAGAATAGCCTTTATCAACAAATTTCCCTTTAAGGGATAATACAAGTTTACCGGACTTAAATACATTTTTAATACTCGATTTTTCTAAAAGATTTCTACTAACCAAATTTCTATTCATATCCAGACTATGTAGTACATTTGTAAGAGCAACAATTTTCCCGGATGTGAAGATGATATCAACATTTCCTTTTCCAATCACTTTGGACCGAACCTTGTTACCCATTTGAATCTTTTGGTCTCCATCTACTTCATGATATGTTTTGAATAATGATTTGTCATATGATATGCATCATAGCACAAATATCATACCACAATCCGAGAACCTTTCCCTTAATTGCATTTATTTCGCTTACGGTGGCCACAATTTTGTCCTCTTGGATGGAATTTATTTTACCTTCGGAGATGTTTCGTTTTCGGTGTCTACAATCTTTTGCATAGTATCCAGATTTTTCACACACAAAACATCTTCCTTTGGTCTTTTTCTTGGATTTATTAAAGTTCCTCGAAGGCTTTCTCTTGCTGGATTTTGTA